AAGCTAGCTTAAGATGACTTGAGCCACAAGCACCTACATTTTCTTGCTCTTAACAATGTACTAAGAGGGCCTATCGGCTTTAGTAGCGTAGTCATGAAAGTTTAACTCTACCGCTAATATCTATGCCGTTTACGTACCGTCTGGACGACGGGTGATAGGTACTCGGATCGTCATTCAACGGAGGTTAGCGTCATCGGCCTTGTGTTCTATAAAGCTTCCACGCAACATTATCCTCACTGTGTAGTGCCTAAGGGAAAACAATATAAACCTGAAGTCCCTGAGGAGTAGTAATGGGCGTCGTGGAGAGAGGAACGCTGCTCTATACTCAGGGTTTTAGGTCGCTAACTGTTTACCGAGCTGTGCATTCGTCCTTCAACGGGCCCGAATTTCTATATATCCTTGCCGTAAGATTGCGCAAATAACCGTCGAGATGTTTAGAAAGACCGGCGGATGCCGAAACTATGGAAGAATCTGAATTCCCAGCCAAAGATGGGTCGTAGCAGTTAAGCTCTTATCATAGGGGTATATATATTAGCACACGTTGCCCTCAGAATGGAAGAAACGATAGTTTAGCAAACGAGCTGATAGTAGGCATTCAATGAGTATTTAATGGTCGTTAACGTAACCATCGGAAGTAATTTCATCCCTATCGCAACGTGAGTGGTACTGGCACTCCCGGTACTCTATACGTTTAGACGCCGCCACGAGTTGGTAACTTGGTACATGGTCAATATGAGACTATCTCGGCAGTTGAGATGATGCAGAATTCAGTCCGCAGTCTCGACATTAGCACTATGAGTCTAAACCTATGATTTTCGTGCGGTTTCGTTCAGGAAGTGTATAGACTGCCCAGGAGAATCTTCGCTTGGTCAGCATGGTGCTTTAACAAGCGCCGGGACCCAGGTAATCCTAATACCCATTCTCTTATTATATATCACCAACTTGATACCACACTCCAGATTCACTTCGGAGAGAAGAAAAACCTAAATAAAGCCTGCGTCACTAGACGCTTTGTTTACAAAAGGATAGTCGATTCAACGAACTAACTGAAATGTAGCCCACAGCCAAGGCTGTATTGACGGCCGAAACCAGATCCTAATGGGATGTGTCTTGGCACGTCTGGAACCAAGCTTCAATACGAACTCGTATATCTTGCCGGAGTATGATGCAACGTGTTGCTTAAAAGGCTTGCTAGGCGCGTGCCTTGCTCCTAGAAACAATGCCGTAGCCACGGACTTGGCCGGGAGGAACACTCGGGTATGGCAGGGATTAAACTCACAAGGGGACTTGGAGTGAATCTTGGGATCTTTTGACTTAACTCTACAGGAGTCCATGGGTACAAATATAAAACAAGCGTAGTACTACGGGGTGTTTCGTAGGTACAGAGTTCGAGTGCTGATACGAGACCTCCACTCTCGGTCCACGGTCGACGAGGCCGGGGTACCCCCACATCAATGATTACTCGCAGTCAGGATGCCGCCTGTGGCAGTAGGGGCACTCTAATAACCATAATAACGTGGCGCGAGTACCCCGGGGCTGCGTGATCGCAGGGCGAGAAAACGGGCTTCATTCGAATTTCAGGAAAAAACGTTGGCACATCACTGTCTTATTAATGTTACCATTACAGCACAACCACGTATAGTTTAAGCGCATCTTGTCTTGCGTCTTGTGATCCTGTCTCTGTAAGTTGGCTAGCAGCAGTCTTGCCATAGTAGTTCCAAAGACTCGGGGGCCACACTCGATACTTCTGGTAAGTCAGTCTACTCACCTGGTCAAACGGGAAATCTGAGCGACTCCATAGGTGAAAAGTCCATTATCCCGGTTATTGTTTTATACTCAGGTCTTTGATTTCAATTCGCCGCATTGCAATAACTCCGTGAACAAACAAATCCGCTTAAAAGTATAGATAAAGCAGAGGTTCTAATCGCTAAAAACTGTGAGTGAGACGCCTTGTGTACGGTATCGAGTGTAATATAGCATACGATCGATACCTGAGTTCCCTGTTCTTAGGCGCATTGTTAATGTTCTACGGTTATACGAACCTTAATCGAACAGCAGATCGTCTGGAGTGCGAGCGGTCCTTCTTCTGGATCAACTATGGTCACCGCCCTGAAACAACGTCACACTGAGGCACTCCTGTTCGTTGGGTACGAGATAGTTTGGTCTCTGCAAATTTTGCTTAGGAGGCTTCTATCGATGGGGCGCATGGTTGTGCTGGCCTCTGAACTCCTCCAACTGTCGTGGGTTGTACTGCAAGAGAATCCATTGGCCCAACGCTTTTTTTGAGATTCTGCATTGGGCGGACCTTTAGGACTTTCGCGCAGCTTAAATCGTAACTTGTCACCGTTGTTTGTCCCCGAATGCGGTAGTACGGGCTCTCCTTGAGGTGCTGCCCTCATGATTTCTAGTAACTGACTGTAGGTAAGCACAGATATCCTTAGTTCGGATAGAGTCAGCGGGTCAGAAGGCCTTGTGTCACAGTGTGTGCTCAAATTGCAGTGCCTACAACGTAAGACAGGGCCTTCCCCTTCGACCTCCTTCTCGTATGTATCAATCACATCTTCTTCAAGCGCCGAGTGGGTACGTCAGTTCCTAGCGGAGCGCGACCATGACATAAAACGCTACTAAGCGCACTCTAATTCGCATGATCACAAGAACCACCTAAATTGTCGTACCCTTGCTGCAGAAGGCCGGCAGCTCATACGTCAGCCCTCGCGCGCCATAGCACCTAATCTGTTTGGCCAGTCTATCGGGACGCACGGACACTGAGAGATAAACTTACATCGGTTGACACCATATTACGGCGTCCACAAGGCTCACCGCGCTCCAAACTGGCGATTTCTAACTACAGGCTCATCCGGGCACGGTATACCCTGCGGAAATCCCAAGGGTGGAATGAAAGCCACCGGAGCCAATCGAATTACGTCTTAATCGTTGGCAAGGCAATCCTGATCCGCCGAACTTGTGAATTAGCTTCTGTGTACTGAGGTAGCTGGGATTAATAGGCGCTTTAAAGGTATACCTCGCCCGCCGTACTGGAATTATGGAGCATGTACCGGTCAACGTTGATGATGTGTTAGAGCCGCCGTGAGTGACTTACCTAGGCAAATCGCGTAGTGACGCCTCACTCTGGAAACATTCGTCATCAGCCATTGCACCCCGCTGAGCCCCATTTGGTAGTTCCTCAAGTAACCTCTCACCCGGTTCGATATGCCCGAAGCATTATAAGGAAAACCCAAAGTTTGATTATAAGTTTCAGCCACGGCGACCTCTTCTTGTGCTAGGGCCGTTAAGTCTGTTGGTCGCCATAATGGAAGGACCATTTTACACTTGTACCCGTAAACACCATTAACAAGTAGTCGGACCGGGCCCGCTAATAAAATAGATAGCCTACATCATTAATACCGGACATCCGCCGAGTCTACAGTCTTGCTCATCTCCTCTATAAGAACCTTTGAACCATTGCACTTTTCGGTTGAGGAATACTCATTTTGACAGTTTATCACGAGTGTCACGTACTAAGTGAGTAAAACACTACGTTGCTCTATGCTGACAACGCTTGGGCATGCTGTATGAATGTCTGTATCGGGCCGGTACCGCGCTGGTGCCGATGAGTGTTTAAGGAGATTCACAATGTAAGTCAAAAGGACGTGTGAGGGGACCAAAGGGGTTGCCCTTACTGAAGGAGGTCCGCTACGGTCTACCGTTACCCACGACCGTAATCCCCTTAGCCATGGACAGTTCAGGTCCGGGAGGCAGATCATATAGACGACTGTGACAATCTGTCATATTCTACTTAATTGGTAGACAAATTGAGCGGTGTATATTGTACCTTAGAGCTATGCACTAAGTAAATTCGAACTGCGTTGGCCAAAGCAATGCGCCTGCCGTACCCCGTACTTCATCTATTGAAAGCTGTCAGTGATTAGCTGTG